TCAACCAGTTGCTATGCATCTGAGTGCTAGACAATGAATAAGGATAACAGAAGGAGAATTGATGCCTTCAGTTGTAATATTAGAGAAGAATGCTGAATATCCTATGGACTGACAAAAGAACAGACAGATATATCTAGAATAAAGTGTAGCCACAGTACTCTTTGGAGGTAAGGATGATGATTACAAAGCTTCATCTCTTATGCTTTGGACATGTCGCTAGGAGAAACTATTCCTTGGAAAGGGACATCATGCTTGGAAAGGTGGACTGACAAAAGAACAAACAGATATGTCTACAATAAAGTGTAGCCACAGTACTCTTTGGAGGCAAGGATGACAAAGAATCATCTCTTATGCTTTGGATATGTCACTAGGAGAAGCTATTCCTTAGAAAGGGACATCATGCTTGGAAAGGCGGAAGGCCAGTAGAAGAAAGGAAAATCCCCAAATAGATGGATTGACACAATGATTGCAGCAATGGGCTCAAGTTCTCAGAGATGGTGAGGCTGCCACAGGATAGGACAAGATTTAGATCTGTTGTCTATAGGGTCGTTGTAAGTTGTATCGATTTAATGGCACCTAAAAACAACAACATTATATAAATCTACTATTACATAAAGACAATATAGTCCCTTAAGATCTTAGCATTTTTCTCAATCTACAAACTAGTTGTTAAATGTGTAGGCTGAATGAAGAACTATGGCATGTTAGATATGGTAACTGCCTCTTTTCTCTTTAAACACTACCCACTCTTTAAGACCCAAAAAGTCTTGATTTCTCCATGAAGCCTTTGCCATCTCTAGATGTCCTATAATTTGACTCAAATCTACTGGATTATATTTCCCTTCCAAAGTGAGTACTTACAAAAATAATGCCCATTTATCACAAAACTCTCTGGAAAAATTAGTCCTTATGCCTTCAAAGTTAGTTCTCCGTAGTTATTTATTGAATGTCAAACGCAGGAAACAGACACATTCTAGACATATTACATAGCACGGTGAACTGTACATAGTGTAAACTCAATAAAAGAATGAATTGTCCTCTGTTTTGTACCTACCACCTGTACATTTTTATGTTGTTTATGCTGTTTCCTGTGTCATCTTATAAGCTTTTCTTGGAAGATCCTCCTGTTCTGCTCAGCCTTTTAAATTCTTAACCCAATATTCTAGTCTCTATTGAAATAACACAGTCTCCTTTAGGAAGTTCTCTCTGATTCACAGAGCTAGAACTGACTTTCTCTTCTTCTTATTACAGATACTAGTTCAAGATACTATTTTAATAGTGAATATATACTGCTCTGGTATCCTAGTGGTTAGGGAATTGTGCTGCCAATCCCAAGGGAGGCAGTTCAAATTCAACAGCTGCTCCATGGCAGAAAGATCCTCTGTAACATTTTCAGCCTCTTGGAACCCAAAGGAGGGTCAACTCTGAGTTAGTTCTGACTTGGTGGAAATGAATTTGAGTGTTTTTGCCTTTATTGTAATCTTATGTATAGATATATGATCTCTTAACTCAGGATGAGGTCTTTGAGGGAAGAATCATTATAGTTCTCACGGTCTTAGACTCAAACGAACTTTGTAAATAGAAAGTACTTAAGTACAATCTGTACAATAAATTTGTTGAATAAACTATCGTGATACACCTGCATTTCTTCTTTTCAGGAGCCTCTTGACCATTTGGCTCCCCCACACAACCTAGACCTTACAGCTCTATAGTCTCTCATTCATTTCTAGAAGTTCCTTATGTCCTATCTAGACTGAACTGATTTAGGTCAGGCATTTATCTACTTATACCAAAGTCTAAGAGAACAGTACGTCTCCACTGATTGATACATCAGAGGCATTTCAGCAAGTCTATGACAAATGTTTTGTACTGTCGAATCAGAATGGACTGATTCATAGTTGGCCCTCTAGCAAGTTTCAGAGGCAGTAAATCACCCAGGAGAGCTTGTCAATCTTTCTCCCCCAGAGCAGCTGGTGGATTCAAACCACATGCCTTTGATTTGGCAGCACAATTACTTACCACAGTCACTAGAGCTCCCAGCTGACAGTTTCTCGCTTTGGGAATACTTAGACCCATCAATCAAATTTTTATTTACATTTCTCATTGACAGAATCATTTCAGAAGCAGGATTGATGCAATCGCTTGACAATACAATACTGTGAAACCTTGGAAAATGAGACATTGTTAGTCATCCCTGATTCTAGAACAAGTTCTCCCTGAGGATATGTAACCTGCCTTGAGGATCAGATACAGATCCCCAACTAAGGGATGAGAGGCATCTAGTAAGAAAGCCTCTACTACCAGCTTCTACAAAGATGAAAGTGTTGTGTGTTTATTTTCATTAAATTTCCCATAGGGCAATTTAGACTCAATTTAAAATGTCCTCTCAGGGCCAGGATATTTCTAATTGGGTTCATCTGCTCAAGCATCTGCTCAAGGTCTAAAGTGTCAACTTGCCTCAGACGTAATGATTTCTCATCTCCATGGACTCCCAGGAGACCCAGCTGGGATGCTTCCACAGATTACTTATCAATGACGCCTACATCTTGCACGAAGCAAAGTGAATCCAAGTGCTTGGCCTGTGAAACTACCACAATGTCTCTCTCTCTTTAATTCCTCCCTCATATTTTTAGTCTGCCTTATTCAATGGGAGAGAAAATAAAAATAAAATTACTTAACTACAGTCTGCACCTAGCAGATAAACAAACAAACATGTGGCCCATGAATGTCATCTGAGATCAACCGTGTCACGTGCTCATCCTCTTGGCTGAATCTATCAGACAAGCAGCCCGGGCTGGCAGATGCACACACGTGCACACATGCACAGACGCCCACACTCCTCTTTATGTAAACATCACACCCTATCTGCAAGGCTCCCCTGGCCATGAGAAGATACTATTCTAGAATAGCCACATATTCCAAAGAAATTTTGGTTAGCCCATTAAAGTAAAAAAAAAAAAATAAAATAAATAAATAAAAGGAAGATGAAAACTTTTTCCTTTGCTAAATTAGTATGTATAGTACTCATGCTGTTACTGTTATTGCACACCAGAGAGTCAGAACTGACCCTAGGGGACTGCACACCAGAGAAGCAGTTAGTCACATGGGAGAAGACTGCTCATCCTTCTCCCACAGAGTAGCTGGTGGCCTCAAACCAAGTGCCTTTGGGACTGCAGCGAAGCTTCTTGCCAGTAGACTACCAGAAAACCACACACATTTTCTTATACTTTATTTACCCCAAATGAAACCAACCAACCAACCAACCAACCAACTAACCAACCAACCAATCAACCAAGCAGCTTGTCCTTTCTTCTTATGACATCCAAGACTTACCAACAATGTTAAAGTTCCTGATCCTCCAAATTTAAAATCAAATTTGAGTACTAATCCCTTGGCTAGAAATGTATTTTACATTTCCCTTAAAGTTTTCCTTTGCAATAATTTTTATTTCACAGGTTTTAAAAAATTTCCCCAAGTCTTGCTTTGTGGAGTGAAAGCCATTTTAATGGAGAAAACTCATTCTTACTTGAAAAAAAAATCCATCTTTCTCCTGTGGAGCAATTGGTGGATTTGAACCACTGATCATTTGGTTAGTATCCTGACATTTATTTACTATGTCACAGGGGCTTCTTTAGGGAAGAAAGTAAGATGATAGTGCCCTGAGTCTGAAACAGCAGAGGATCTCAGCAGTAATTCTTTGGCCCAGAACCAGGGTTTAAAATCAGTCACGAGAAAAGCTGCTGAAACAGAGTCTACAATTCTGTGTTTGACTTGCATAATGTTGACATTCTAACACCAGAGAGACCCAAAAATATTTCAAACAATTATGACTACTTTTCTATAAATATTTTCATATTGTTTCAAGAAGTAAAATAACATTTTATCCTTCTCATTTTCTTGGTTACTCTGGCCACCCTGGGCCAATCACTATTATGGGTTTATTTTTGGATAGGTCAGAGAGGAGGTGTTAATTCTGCTGTTCAACTGTGTTTCTCCAGCACAAGTTGCCCAGGGGGTTAGGGTGTCTGTTACTCATGAAGCATTCACAGAGAATAGTGCCAGGGTTTGGGAGAAATATATTGTCTCTTTCCTCTTTTGAAACTCAGGCAAAGAAAACCAGCAAACAACACAAGATGGCATATCTAGTAGTCTTCTGTGCATTTATTCTTCTTTTTTTTGCGGGGGGGAATTCCCCAAAAGCTTTCCCTACATTTTTCTCCCCCTTCATTGCTAAGACTTCTGCAAGGGGCTCACAACTCATTGCCATCAACTAGGAATGACTCATAGCTCACCCACCCTTGGGTTTCTGAGGCTGTAAACTGCACGAGAGGAGATCCTTCTCCTGCAGACTCACTGATGCTTTCTAACCGCCAGACAAGCACCACTTTGACTTAGCAGCTCAGCTTCCTGTGGATGATGCCACAAGCAGGTAGGTCAAAAGTTTGGCTAAGGAAGTTTCTTGACTTCTGGGTAAATTATTCATTTAATTCTGGTATCTCTTCCTTTATAATGAGTTAAACGTTTAGCAGCGAGGGCATGATGGGTGAAATAATTTTAAATCTGTAATTTCTGCTCTCTGACAACAGGATTAGAGGGCTTTAAATTCAAGCTTAGGAAACGATGATGGTGATGACGATGGTGATGATAATCACAGATGAACTAACTGATCACTAGTTTAATAACCTCTCAGAGCCTTTTCAGCATCTCTCCCAGAGCTGAAGGACCAAGTGACCTGGCTTATCTTCCACATGCATGCTCTCAGCATGGCTGGCACATTTATTTTGATGTGAAAACATCAAGCATTGCCTACTGCTATCCCTCCGAAAAAAGCCTAGAAATGGCCCCCCTTGTTTATGATTTTAAAGATAACACAAGTTTCTTGTCACTACTTAAAAACTGCATCTTTTAATTAAATCGGCCAAAGAATTTGTACTTAACAAATAAAAGTTCAGCACTGTTTCAAAGCCTTAGGGAGTAGGAAATGGGACAAAAGAACTCACCCTCAGTTCCAGAAAAAGCATCGCTTGAGCCTGCCAGTGCCAAGGTCAACAGCAGCTGCCAGAGATCCATACCTGACGGGCCTGCAATCATAGAAAACACGAGATAAAGCCAAGCAGTCAAAACAAAGCCATTCTCATTAAACATGGTTCAAGGACTGGCTAACCCACTGGCATGTCAGTTCTTGAAGGAGACCCAATAAGTCTTTTATTGCCCTGGAGTCTCATCTTGTTACCCTCTTTATGGAAGCACATAGCAAGGTTCAATAAATTCTACTTTACAAAGGTGGAAGACGACCAAAGAGTTGATGGCTTTGAGTTTTGCTTTTGGTAACGCGTATTCAAGATACTACGGGCTGTCAGAAGAATGAACAACTCTATTTTGGCAGCAGTGCCGCTAGGATGCTTCTTTGAGGGAAAGATAGGGACACCTAGTATCGAGGACTTTGGACATGGTATGAGGAGATCTGGAGAAGGACATCAAGCTTGGTCAAGTAGATGACTGAGGAAGACTGTCCATGTGATTGATTGAGTGAATGATTGATTGATTGATACAGTGGCTCCAATAATAGGCTTAAGCACAGTGATGACTATAAAGCTGGCTCAAGACGTGCAGTGTTTAATTCTGATCTACACAGGATTTCTACGAGGCAAAACTGACTCAATGACATTTAACATAAGAAGAAAAAGGGTTCTTGTCTCAGGAAAGAAAATGAACATGAGCTTTTTAAAAATCCTTTCTGAAAGTTATAGAAATACCTCACAACAAATGCCTCCGACACACTGCTTTGACCATGGGGCCAGTGTAGTCCACTTTAATTGAATCTGGAAATGGAAAGTATGGCGGCAGTTACCACCAACCATGCGGGTGAGCTAGACAAGTCACAAAAGGACAAACAATTCCGCTCCCTGCACGGCATGCCTTCTGTCTGTTTCCCAGTGAACAGAAGAAGAGTTCCAAACTCCTCAATCACTGTGTGCTAATGGACCATCCTGAAGGGATGTAATTAGAGGAAGCAGAAAAGAGAAGGTTAGATGCAAAAGAGCACAACACACCTGTGCTTCCTAGGTGGCATCTTAAGACACAGTGGGTCCTGATGCACTTTAGTTTTTTGAAGTTTGCAGAGACGTGGCCTCTGTAAGACCCAACCTGAGAGGGCTCTGTTTGTGGTTTCTTGAACTATTCAGACTCCCAAGTGTGGCCACACGTAACGCCCTTCAGCCTGATTCATGAAACAGGGCACCCTCAGGCCCCAGAAGGCATAAGCTTTAACCCGGAGGAAATATATCTCTTTAGATAAGATAAACCAAATGTTCTTGAAAGTGAAAATTTGGGGGCTGCTTAGAATTAACTCAGCAGACTTGCAAAGAATGTCAACTTTTTAAAAGTTTAGAGCGCATGCACGTGTGTGTGTGTGTGTGTCTGGTTGGTGGCATGGTCTGCTGGTATGTATGTTGTTAATTAAAAGTCTACACATCTACATGTGTTTGAATCCACCAATGGCTCTGTGGGAAGGAGATGGGCAGTCCTCTCCAATTAAGGTTTATAATCTCAGAAACCCAATGGGGAGGATACTATGAGTCAGGATTAGCTTGATGGTTATGAGTTTAGTTTAGTTTAGTTGAAGATATATATCCATCCATATACAGATCTGGATCAATTTATGTAGTTATGTTCCTTTGAGTTGGAACCAACCAATAGCAGATCCTTCAGAAGTTTTCAGGGGCTATAAATCAAACAGGATGAGACTGCCCGTCTTTATCTTGTGGATTCAAACCACCAGAGCTCCCTAGATCTACATATGCACACACATATAATCTCTCTTCTATATCTCTGTGTTTCTATCTCTCTCTTTTTTGTTCATAGGGTTGCTATGAGTCATACATGGCTTGACACCACCTAATAACACCAACACACACACACACACACACACACACACACATGTATATATGAATAAGAAAGAGAGATGAAATGACTCCTTTGAGCTGTCATGTTGGAGAAGAAAACTGAATATCCCATGAACTGCCAAAAAACCAAACATCTATGTCTTGATTAAAATGTAGCAAGAGCGCTCCCAGGGGACAAAGATGACAAAGATTTGTCTGACATACTTTGGACAGTTGTTAGGAGAGGCTAGTCCTTGGAGAGCACCATCATGCTTGGAAAGGTGGAGGGCATGTGAAAGAGGTGATGATCCTCATTCAAATGGATTGAAATAGTAACTGCAGCAATGGACTCATGTATGACAGAGATGATGAAGTTGAAGAGATAGGTCAGCGTTCTGATTGGTTGTTCATAGGGTTGCTATGAGAAGTACTCAATTCGATGGTTCCTAACAACAACATTGGAGCCCTGGTGGCTTAATCTGTAGCGTGCTGTGGGGCTAACCAAACAGTTGCTCAGTTCCAGATGTTTGAATCTAGCAGTAGCTCTGCAGAAAGAATCTTCTCATAATAAGACTTATGACTTCAGAAACCCAGTGGAGGATGGCTACAAGTTAGCATCAACATCCCTGGGTCTTAGGTAATCAGGCTGTGATCGTAGGTCCAAGTCTCCAGCATATATTATGTACATATGAGTTAAAAGAAATGATAGGCTAAAATTACCCTCTCAGTGATAGACAATATTTGGTTTTTTTAAACTGGATTTTTAAAATATTTTTTCTTTAAAAACCGAGATAATAATCAAAAGGTCAGAGAAAGTTGTAGTAGTCTGCTTCTGTCAAGATTTACAGTCCTGGAAAGGCGATCCTGCTCTGTTTTAGAGAATTGCTATATACAAGAATAGACTCGAAGGCTAGAAATTCAATTTGTGGTTTATATTATGTCTGTAGTATTAGTTTTACCTGTCAATCTTTGTACAATTATCAGGGTAAAGAAACTTTTATTGGCACATCTTGATATTCTACCAATGGTCTGCCAGTTTGGTGTCCTGAGATGGCTTGCATGTTGCTGTGGAGCTAGAAGTTATGTCACCAAAATGTACAATATCATCTGTAAAAGACCTCTTTAAAATGCTGAGAAACAAAGTAGTCACTTTAAGGACTAATGTGTTCCTGACCCAAGCTATGGTATACACCTCATACACAAGTGCAAGTTGGATGATAAGTAAGGAGGCCTGAAGAAGATCTGCTGCATTTGAATCATGCTGTTGGTGGAGGATATTGATTGCACCACGAATTGCCAAAATACTAAAAATGAGCAAATGTGCATTGAAAGAAGTGTTGCTAGAATGTTCCTTAGAAGTAAGAATAGTGAGACTTATCTCACAACCTTGGGACATGCTATCATGAGGGACTCAATGTCTCCAGAGAAGAACATAATACTTGAGAAGAGGTCTATGAAAAACAAGAAGACTTTCAATGAAATGGACTGACAAAGTTTTTGTTAGAATGGCCTCAAACATAGTAACCATCTGGGAGGATGGCACAGGGCTTGCAAATGTTTCCATCTATTTTACATATGATCATTATGAGTTGGGAAAAGCTCAGTGGCACCTTACAACAATATCATGGTATGAAATTATAGCAATTGTTATATGCTGTCAAGTTGGTACCAACTCAATAGCTGGCCCTACCTTTGGGTTTCAGAGACAGTAAATCACATGGAAGTAGATGGCTCTTATTTCTTCCACAGAGAAGCTGGTGGATTTGAACCACGTGCCTTTGGGTAGGCAGTGCAGCTCCTTACCACTAGGCCACCAGAGCTCCCTGGTTAGAATAATGTACCCCCAAATATCCAGGCAGACCTGGTATGCATCAAATCTGCATTTTTTAGAATGGGGCTTTTTCTGGTTTGTAATTTATTTCTTGATCTGATTTAAAGGAGTTAGAAAGATACCAGAAATAAGAGAATTTTATTTTAAATAAATAGCAGATAGACCCTTTCCTTTCACCAAGTTTTTGAAAATTGCTGCCTGTAAATGAACTTCTTGTCTCTGATCCCTGCAACTCCCCCAAAACTTGTAATTATCATAATTTGTTTTACAAATCAGACAGATTATGATAGACTTCATTTATCCCTCCCCCAAAAATGTTATAAACAGAACAATCAGAATTTAAAAATCAAATGTAACTGGCAAATTGTTAGCATATTCCTGGGGTAGCTATATAGGAGACACAGGAAAGTGCCACCCTCACAAGTAAGAGGTGTTGATGGTCCACCATTGCTGATGGGAGCAAAAAATGTGAGAACCTGACGACAAGAGAAGGATAGGAACAAGGAGGCACACAGAGAAATGTGACTGGCATCAGTAAAACCTAATTGTTAGAGACTAACTCTCCACATGGTGATGGGTCACTGAGAGTGACTGCAAAGGTATCATCCGTTTTCCACTTCCTTAAGGTTCCTATGTACCACAAACCACTTGGGCTCAACTGCTTGAACCCACCTAGTAGCACCTTGGAACAAAGTCTTGGCTGATAATCAGCCAAGAAAATCCTGAGGTGCAGTTTTACTCTGTGACACATGGGGTTGCTACATGTCAAAATTAACCCTGTGGCAATGTTTTTATTGGGTTTTCTTTGTTTGCTTTTTACTTCCTTAGTGAAGTGTCACTAGTGCTACTAAGTCAATAGGAATCCTATTGCATTTGATTTATCATTACTCTCAGACAACTTCTAGTTGCGAGAACATCTTTGTTCCTAGTTTGAAGCTCAGATAAAATGTCCCTGGTCTGGATAGGATACTGCCACACTAAGCCAAGAGCTTTAGTAAGATCTATCGAAGCTGCACCAGATCCAAGCAGAAGAAAGTAAAATTATTCTGCTTTCCTTCAAGTTCATTTTACCCATTTACCCAAATAAGATCCAAAGTACCTTTTAAACTCTACTTAGAACGTAAGTTGAGGTAAGCATTAGTCGGGAAAATCTATCAACTGTGTCTCACTTAGCCTGTTAGGGTTTCAAATCTTTTAAGATTTTCCTAGGAAACCCTTCTTGAAAATTCTTATGCTATTTATACACTTTGTAGCTATAGCATTATGGCAAAATTTTTTGTTGTTGTTGTTGTTATGTGCCTTCAAGTCACTTGCGACTCATAGCGACCCTATGTACAACAGCCCTAAACTCCGCTCTGTCCTGTGCCAATCGCACA